GCCTCTCACCGCCGCGGCCTCTCCCGTTGCGGAGCACAGGCTCCAGACGCGCAGGCTCAGGGGCCACGGCTCACGGGCCCAGCCGCTCCGCGGCATGTGGGATCTTCCCGGACCGGGGCACGAACCCGTGTCCCCCGCATCGGCAGGCGGACTCGCAACCACTGCGCCACCAGGGAAGCCCGCTCTCCTTCGTATCATCATGTGAGAACAATTCCCAACAATGTCTTTGATAAAATACTCCTCCCACTCCTAACCCTGGCCCCTCCCCCTGCTTGTTTCATGTCCTCACCTGTAAATCGAGGATTTAAAAGTACCCATTCTTAACATATGGCACACAGAAAGTGATTTTTTTATTATCTGAACTTAGAAGCGGCAGGTGACATGTGTAACCAGTTTTCCCGGGACAGTTCCTAGAGGCGCCAGAAGTAACCAACAGAAAAGACACAGGCTAACTGCCCTTTCACCTCCATGCGCCTATCAGGAGGCCCAGGAGGTGCCCCATCCCTGAATACTGCCAGTCAGCAAACTTGACCCTTCCTCGTCTAGAATGCTCCCAGAGTGTTGTGGAGAGAGCAGAATAGGACAGGCGACCTTAGGGAAGCCTGAGGAGGGGTTGGTCACCGTGCAGAATGAGATGGATTCTACCTGCAGATGGGAGCCCAGTTCCTAGTCAGCTCAGAGCCTTCCCTGCAGCTGAGAATGTGGCCAGAGGAGCACTTCAAGCTGAGCTCACAGTGGACAGTGGGATTTAAAAGTCCACACCCAGCACAGTGGACAGCACATAGTGGGGCTCAAAAACTACGTTAAGTGCACAACTGAAGAAAACCATGGCTCATTATTTACCTAATTATTAACAAATAAGGGCGTCCATGACATAGTGCTTAATGGAAAATTGTAGCTAAGAGAACATACTGTGTGTGTGTCTTATGGGATTTGAAAGTCTTTTCATTTTTACTTTATACTTCACAGACTTTAAAAATAAGAATTTTCACACAACTTTAATAACACCATGAATCTTTTTTTATTTAATAAAAAGCTATTTTTTAAAAAAGAAAGAACCCAGAGAACAGGCAGAAAAGTGGAGCAGAGATGAAGACAGGAAGGAAGCAAGGTGCAGGAGAAAAGGAAAAGGAGAAAGCCTGCAAGAGAGGGGCCCGGGCACTGGCAGAGGGTGACATGCCCTGGGAGTCACCGCCCCGCTTGGACAGTGCCGCCCAGGCTGCCAAGTTCTCTCCAGCTTCCCCGCTGCTCTGGGTTTCCCTGCAAACTCTGTGGCCGTGTGTGGGGACGGGGAGCTCTTCAGTGGTAACCAAAACAGAAGCACACAGGGAGAAAACAAGCAGACAGGGCTCTGGCTCCCAGTCACCCGCACCACTGGGACAGAAAGCACATGAAGTCAGCCCCTGAAACGACCTTTACTGATACCTCCTCTTCCCTCACCTGATTCTCACTCCCAGGGCAGCTCAATGACATGCACTCACAGCCTGAGTTGGGGGTCCCAGCTCAGGGCCACCTGTGTGTGGGGGGATGTGGGGTCTCAGTCATACTCTTCCGGAGCAGGAAGGTCAGCAAAGCTACTATAATTGACGTCCAGGGAACATCACTCCCCACCAGCAGAACTAAAATCACAGCTCTCCTGCCTGGCTCCCTCCCACAGATGATAACAGCCCCAAATCTTTTTCTACAGAGGAAATATGGCCGATCACAGTTGGTGTGGAAACTAAAGAACCACTCTAGTTGGATCTGCTGTCCTTGGCCCATCCAGGGTCTGGGTTCAGCCCACGCAAGGGCTCCTCCCAGCCTCACCCTCCCCCATCCTAGGAACCAGCATAATCTCTTTTGGCACCTAAAGCCATAAAATGTCAACAACCAAACCACCTTGCCCCATCATACAGACGAGAACACCAAGGCCCAGAGAACGCAGGGGCTTGGCTAAAATCACAAGGATGGGGCTTCCCTGGTGGCGCAGTGGTTAAGAATCCATCTGCCAGTGCAGGGGACACGGGTTCGAGCCCTGGTCCAGGAAGATCCCACATGCCGCGGAGCAACTAAGCCCGTGCGCCACAACTACTGAGCCTGTGTTCTAGAGCCCACAAACCACAACTACTGAAGCCCGCGTGCCTAGAGCCCGTGCTCCGCAACAAGAGAAGCCACCGCAATGAGAAGCCCGCCACCGCAACGCAGAGTAGCCCCCGCTCGCCTCAACTAGAAAAAGCCTGCGTGTAGCAACAAAGACCCAACGCAGCCAAAAATAAAATAAATAAATTTTTAAAAGTAATAATGATAATAGTAAAATCACAAGGATGGGTGAAAAGTGGAAGTCCAGTTCTCTCAAAGATTGGCTTCCCCGATACCCCAGTACAGCCCCATTCCTCTAGGACTGCCCTCAGAACATCCCCTAAAGAGCTCCTCCGTTTCCCAAACCTGCTTGGGCTGGGGGGAGCTGAGGTTTCCTGTCTGGGCTGAGAGTGAAAGGTGGAAAGAGGGAATGAGGAAGGAGCAGCCAGCAGCCAAAGCCTTCAAAGGGCTCGAGTCTCTGCCAAACAGGCCTCGCACTGCCCAGCAGGGCCTGGGCCCGGGCTCCCCGCACCGCCCCCACCCTGTGGCCAAGGCCATTCATTCTCCGCTTCCCTCCTGGGAGCGCCAGGAGGCCAGGGCTTGGGACACGGCTTCCCAGAGACCCTGCGTCGTGCCACCCAAGGCGTGAGCTCTGGGACCGTGTCCCGCCTCCTGCTGCCGCCACAGCAGGCGGTGAGCAAAAGCAGGTGGACCTGACCTGCCTTTCAGCTGGGAGCAGGTTTCTGACTCAGCTGTGGCTGCCCAGGCTTCAGAGCTGGAAAGAAATGTGGATCATAGACAGGGAAACCGAGGCTCAAAGGAGGGCCAGAGAGGGACACAGATGGCACTCAGGGTTCACTTAGGTGATGATCTTTCCGTGTAGGTCCCCGACTGGCCTCGGAAGCCACCTACAGCTGGGAAGTCCCCACTCCCCAAGGGAGGAGACAGGAGAAAGAAGGGAAAGACAAGCCCCCAGTCTCCCTCTTGGTACAGGTGGCATTTGGGGGGCCTGGGGACCGGGTTATGCACTCTGGGGAGATTCTGAGCCTAGAGAGGGGCTGTGTGGCCAAGATCGGTGCTAACTTCTGGGTTTCTGTGCTTGCCAAAACAGTTCTTGCGCCCCGGGATCTGTGAACCCCAAGATCCATGCCTGTCAGGATTATTTGCAGGGCACCTCCCATAGCACCCGGAGCTCCTGAGCCTCCGTGCCCCAGGGGAGCCGTGCCCGCCCCCGGGAATCCGTGCGCTCCACCTAATGCTCCCGGGTTCGGTGCCCGCTGCTGGGCACCCGGCGCCCAGAATCCAAGGGGCTGCCCAGAGACGCAACTGACCTTGGCAGGCATCAGAATGATGAGTGGCAGCAGCAGAATCGGGGTGACGAACAAGATCACGAAGGACTTGAACTTGGAGACATAGCTCAGTGCGGAGGCCATCGCGGAGCGGGAGTCTGGCGGGAGAGGCGAGAGAGGGGCAGCCAGTAGCTTCACGGGCTTAAGAAGGGGCCGCAGTCCAGGGGGTTGGAGGGGGCGGCGGGAACTCCGCCTCCCATGGTGGGGCCTCCCCGCGGCCCCGGGGCGGGGCCAATCCCGCGGGGTCGGTGGGACAAGCCTGCCCCCAACTCTGCCTCCGGGCGGAGGCGGGCGGCGCCCACGGACTCCAGCGTTTCGGGCGGGCCCTTCAGGAGTGGTCTGGGCCCTGGCACCTCCTGGCTCTCCGAGACTTTTCTGCGGTGCCCTAGGCAGGCTCCCGCGGACGGCCAAGCAGGAGTGATTGATCATTCAGTCTGCTGGCTTAGGCGTACGGCGCCCCCTCTGCATCCGCACCTGCCCTTCCTGGGCCCCGCCGGGGTCCCAGGTGAAAGTCCCTAGCGGTTTCTGAGTCTTTCGGATCCGTCTCCCCAACCTCTCCCTCCTTTTCACCTGGTTACTCCTGCCCCTCCCACTCTCGCCCCGGAGGGGTCTCCCGCAGCGACCCACCGCGCGCCCAGCGCCGTCTGCTCCGCGGGCCTCCCCTCCCGCCCCCCGCCCTCACCCTCAGCTTCCCTGCAGTGTCTGCGCTGCTCTGGGCACGGGACTCGTCCCCAGCGCGCCCTCTCCCACCCAGCGCATCCCGGGCACTCTCCAGCGATCGCGGAGGAGGTGAGGCCACCGTCCTCCGCAGCCCGGCGTGCTTTCGCCCTCCAGCGGACACTGGCGCAGCCCGCCGACGCCCTGCTGGCACTGCGTGCGCGGAAGGCGGACTGAGCCCGCCTGACAGCGGCAGCTACTGCCATTCTACAGGGGAAACGAGGGTCCCAAGAGGAAGGGTCTTAACCAAGGCTGCCCTGAGAGGGTCGTGCATTCACTCGGCCCGCCTCCTGCGGACAAGTACTGAGCACCTATTCTGTGCTAAGCCCTGTTTCGTGCGCTGGAGGTACAAGGTTGCAGACACCACCACCCCTATCACTTTCTTCTTTCCTCCCTTCTCCTCTGCCTGCCGGGCTTCTCATTCTGCAGCTTTCTTTGGGGGAGGCCTACCCCTGTTTGTGGTTTAACCGCAGCCTGTTCCTTAGTGATTAGTATCCTCTGTCTTCAACCCAGCCCTGCTGCCAGAGTCCCAGATTCTCCATATTTCCAACTTTTTCCAGCCTGGATGTGCCTCAGGCCCTAAAACTCAACACATCCTAAATCAAATTCACGAGTCTCCTCCTGTGACCTCCACCTAAGGACAGGTATTCCCCCAAACCCCTCCTGTATCTGTCTTTCTTCTGTCCTCCCCCTTTGTAATTCTCATTCATCTAAACCTGGGTTTCCCTCCCTCCCCCCATCCCAGGGCACTTAGCACTGTTTGTACCTATTTAATTATTGGTGTGATTTTTTAAATTTTTATTTATTTATTTATGGCTGTGTTGGGTCTTCGTTTCTGTGCGAGGGCTTTCTCTAGTTGCGGCGAGCGGGGGCCACTCTTCATCGCAGTGTGCAGGCCTCTCACTATCGCGGCCTCTCTTGTTGCGGAGCACAGGCTCCAGACGCACAGGCTCAGTAGTTGTGGCTCACGGGCCCAGTTGCTCCGTGGCATGTGGGATCTTCCCGGACCAGGGCTCAAACCCGTGTCCTCTGCACTGGCAGGCAGATTCTCAACCAGTGCGCCACCAGGGAAGCCCCACTGGTGTGATTTTTATTTAACGTTTGTTTTATTCATCACCATATGTCCAACCAGCACCTTTTACAGTGCCTGATCTGATATGGGCACTCAAAACTTTTTCTCTGGGATGTGTGAGTGAATGCAAGTTGTCAATGAAAAAAATCAATCAATAATCAATCTGAGAAAGAAATGGAAATTTTTATTACAGCCACAACCTGAGGATTAAAACCCAGGAAATAGTCTTTCAGAAAGCTCTGAGGACTGCTTTGCCTGTTAGAGGTCCAGGCACTTGAGTATTTGAGACAAAGGGTTACACATCAAAGTAACATGTTGACGGTTTACGTAGTCCAACAAGGCAAGTAGTGGGTTACTGTGACCCCTTACAGGATTGAAAGAGGAATGTTATCTCCTGAGGAGTTACCTTGCTGGCTCCAGGAGAAAACTCCGCCCCC